CTCCCTTTCAGCCGTGGGGGCGTTATAATGTGACGGTCAATCCCACTATTCGTGATGGGTGGTGATGACTAGCTGCCTTCCCTCTAGTTCTACACTGCTAAATTAGGGACGGCTAGCGCAGATACCCCTCGTGTATGTTTGTGAATTTCTGAGAAATAGAAACAAAAATGTAGATTTATTCAAAAAACATTGTTATTTTATTTCTCATAACCTGCCACCCTTCCTCAATTATCGCCCGCCTACCAGTGACCAGAAGTTTCCATCCCGATCATAATATTCATGATGTTAAACTTACGATGTCGTTCCTCATTAGGCCTAGCATGACCTGGTGGTTAGGGTGCTCGACTCGCATCTTGCGCGTTGCGAGTTCGATTCCCGTCATCAAACTACTCATCCTTTCAGCCGTAGAAGCATTATAATGTAACGGTTAATCCCAACTTTTTTTTTGGTAAATGAGTAGCTCGGGAATTGGCAGTGGGTGGTGTTGACTAGTTACCTTCCCTCTAGTATATCACCTCAAAATTAGGGACGGCTAACGCAGAACGCTCTCGTGTAGCTTTACGCGAAATTAAACAAAACAAAAAAAAACGAAAAACAAGCAAACCCTTCCTGATAAAAATCTATATTCCAGATACATTTAACATACCCAATGTACTTCCTTATAACATGTGTTTCTGATACATTCATTGGTTACATGTAATGTTAATACTATTAAAATTTCAAACTTATTTCTTTAACTGATAAAGTTAATACCCACTTGTTCGACGATTACCTATACAGTTAAACTATTTCCTGATTTATCTACTGAATTAATCTAATGTAGCTATCTATTATCTTATCGAATCCTAATCGAAGTGGTCTTATCCATTTGAAGACGATTATTTGAAGAAAACTTAACTTTAAGGTTAAAAAAAAGGTCTAATCAACAGAAATCTTCGATTTTGTTGATGTTTGATGCATCAAAAACCTACTTTTAGGGCTAAGATTTGTTTAGTTGTTGATTTGAACTGTGTTCACTGCAGGGAATCGAATCCCGGATTTTAACTCACCACTGGCCCATCAGGAGACAAGAGAGCTTGAATGTACGTTAAAGATAAAACAATATAGTTTGAAATCCTGTTAAACACGGAAATGGACAGATTGCAAATGATCGACAAATTTCAGAGATTACTTTTTATCTTCAAACGACTACAATATAAAACTCATTATTTAAATAAATGACGAACCTTTCCAGTCAACATTTCGTCCGTTGAATTCGAATACGTGAGATATTAACATCTATGTTTTGACTGTTGCTAGGCGCAACGCTACACAAGTGCTGTGTACGTATCAGGAAGTGAACCTCGAATTTCAGTGTTATAAACTCTCGAGGTTTCAGTTGAACTGAGCCACGGGTGTTTGACAGCTTAAAAAGTTCTCTGCTAGCTGTAATGATAAACAAACATTTCTTGTTCACACTGGTTTATGTAACCGATGAAATAACCGGGAGGATAAATCGGTAACATTTCTTAACATCAGAATAAAAATATGGTCTCGTGGAAACTATAAAAAATTATCATTGGTATTTTTACTTTGACAGAGAAAACAGCACATTTTTTTAAAATTTTCGTATATATATGTATATACGGTTTTATATATTTTTATCATCAATTTACTATTCAACCTACAACTATTTTAGTTTGAAAAAATACATTCTAAACAAACATTTTTTAGAATTATCTCATGAAAATATACAAGGACCACGCGCACATAACCTTTCTTAATTTTGAACAAATACACTAGAGGGAAGACAACTAGTCCCCCAGCACTCACTGGATATTCTTGATTTAATTTTCTGTTGCAGAATATTAGGTTCAAGGGAACACACAACTAGTCCCCCAGCACTCACTGGATATTCTTGATTTAATTTTGTGTGACGGAATAGTAGGATTTGACCGTCACTCTTATGGCTGCGTTTTTGTAGTCGTGAACCACAAATCCTTGAGTTCACAGTCTAAGCACGCTAACTAATTGGCCACGACCGGCCATTATTAGCTGTATGTGTACCATATAAGATCAACTATATTTCATATTTAAGTTATTGTATTTAGTAACGTAGAATTTAAACTGTGAATACATCATTTGAAATACTTACTTTAACATACACACACATTAGCTTAGAAATTTTATTGTTCACCGATGGAACAGCGGTAAGTTTACGAACTTACAACACTAAAATCAGGTGTTCGATTCCCGCCGTATACACAGCAGGTAATCTAACGCGACTAAAACAAACAATTAAACGATTTTGGAGACCTCTTACTTTCTTCATGTTTATTTATTTTTCATCTCCTGATTTTAAATTCACCAATATAAAAGCGACCAGTTTTGAAATGCTTATAGTCTTTGACGAAGCAGGTTATTAACTTACATAGAAGATCCATTATTCCGTTCTTGATCTTGGTAAATTATTCCCGTCAAAATAAGTAAAAGAAAATATAATCTTACATTTTCACTAAATTATTATTCATAACTGTAACTCTAA